CCAAAGGGACAAACAGAAGCCCTCATGTTTTGAATCAGAAACCAAACCCAAGAATGTTTGCTAGTCTGTTTGGGGGCCCTTGAAGGTGATGTGTTAACATTTCCACCCCCAGATGTTTTCTTGCTGCTTGGTCAAGACAAGAGGCGAGAAGTCTTTGTGTTTGCTCTTTTCTATGGGGGCCGTCCCTGTAGACCTGCTGCTTGTGGGGGAGCCTTTGAGATGAACTCTCTGGCCTCTATGAAACAGCAGGTTCACAATCGTTGGACGAGAAATGCCAGTCTATAAAAATTCTTGTCGGGTAGGCCCTACCCCTGCCTAGGAGTTCCTTATCTCAGGGGCGTTTTCTGTGCACAGGAGATAGAGATCTGCCCATCCACTCCTGGCACGTTAGCCACCATCGAGAGGTTTTACGGAGGGGAAACTGAGCTCAGAGAGGGTAGCTGTGTGTCCACGTAAGAGCCCGAGCTTTCATAGAATGCTTTGCCTTTGACTTTTATACTTTGAAAAAGTCTGAAGTCCGAAGAAACTGTCATCAGCTCATATTGTAACACCTACACTGCTTATACTCCCAATAACACCTGAAGCAAAAGAAGTCATGCCATACAATAAATTCTAATCCAAAAAAGGTGAGGAAGGCTTTTACCAGATGAGGGGGGAAGAGTCCATTCTCTTTCCATTGCATTCATTTCTGCCATTTGCCTGTCAGTGTACCCTACTGTCGTGGTGGCTGCGCTGCTGCGATGTTGGGAACTCTGGCATGGGGATTTCCAGTACCAGCAGGGTCACCCCAGGAGCACAGGTTTCAGCAAAGCTGACAGACTAAGACAGACTAGACAGGGGGACCTGGAGATACACTTTTAAAGCAAGTGGCCACTGAAAACAGAATAGATGGCATGGAAACGTGGTCAGAGGTAGTGGGAGAAGATGAGCCCCTCACGTTGGAAGGACACAGTGGCTGCAGCCAGGGGCTGGGACATAGTGCGTGTGAGGCTGGCACAGGGGTGGATAGTGTTTCCTTCTGTGGTTCATCGGGGCCCTCTGAGTCAGACCCCGCTCGATGGCACCTAACAACAGATACGTCCTGCATCTCTGGCTCTCTCATTTCATATCAAACACATACAAGGGACTTCAAAAGGCTCATGGAGAAATGATCAGACATGATCTTGGCCTAAAACAATGAGCACAAGCAATTTAATAGTGATGATGATGATGATTATGGGGATAAGATGTTGTTTATCTTTTATTGCACTCGTAAATCTTAACTTGGAACACGTTTTTTTAATGATTTTATGGGGGGGGCTCTTACAAATCTGATAACAATCCATCATTCATCTGTAGGAAGCACACTTGTACACAAGGAACACGGTTCCTGCTAATCGATGTCTTGGTGATCAGCACATACGAGTCATCGGAAGAAACTGGGCTTCCGGCTTGAAATAGGCCGTTTTAAGCCCTTCACGCATGATCCTCACCGAGGCCCGCAATTTACCTTTAGTCATCTGTGTTCAAACGAGAACCTACTTTCTGTTCAAAGCGGTTCCCCCACCCGGGAAGTGGGGAGCTTCCTGCTCAACCAAGGAAAAGAACAGCCGGGGTGAAGATCTAGCCTCCGTTAGATCTAGCTGACCACTCTCGCATGGTAGATACCGGCCTTTTGACATCATGAGTCCAAAGGCACATCCTTGTTAATACCCCAGCTGTGAGCAAAATGCTATCTTTGTGATGCCCCTTCCCTACTGAGCATGTCAGAAGACTGGTCCCCACGCTGGGTCATCAAGACTAACGTGCTAAGACCTGGGAAGCCACCTCAGTGACGAGAGTCCCGAGCATGTCTTTGCTTGACCATCCAAATAAAGCTGCATCTTTAGCTTTCAGCCGTTTTTGCGTCTCTGTAGCTGCAACGAGTCAGGCCTGGAAGAGGCCGCAGGAGCATTTCTGGTGAGCCGTCCAGGAGTGCCTCGGTCAAGTAGTCAAGTGACGACAGTTTGAAGCTGGTGCCCGTGTAGAATCACCCGCTCTGTGCTCCCGTCGTTCGATCAGAAAATCAAGAGAATGTGGCTGCTAGCTGGAGAGCCTGCGCCGCCTGGAGACCCACCAGCAGGCTAAAGATCTGGGTCAGGCTGGGGGTGCAAAGCAGGCCAAAGATCCAGAGCAGAGCTCTTGTGTTCTCTTGGCTGTGGCTACCGAGCTGAGTCAGTGTCTGAGGACATTCTCAGTTGACGGCAGCAAGGTGGTCAAACTGCGTGCCCTCGCATCCCCTTCCAACCCCAAACATCAGAATTGCAGCCCTGAAAGTAGGGGAAGCGAGGGGGCTGGAAGGGAGGGAAGGGGGAGCTGATAGCATTGATGACTGTATAATCCCACTGGAAAGGAGTGAGCAACAGAATTGTATGTGAGTGGATATAGGGTTAAATAAGGGTTCCTGGTGGGTAGGGTGGAGGAGGGAGGGGATAAAAGGAAGCAAAAAAAAAAGAAATCAAATGAAGTCTTGCATTGGACAGATCTGCTGCACATGACCTCTTCCACATGCTGAAGTGGCAAAGAATATGGAAAGTTCTGTGGCCACCAGAAGAACAAACACATCTGTCTTGGAGGAAGGACAGTGATCCTTAGAAGCGAGGGTGGCCAGGCTGCGTCTCATGTGCTCTGTAAATGCTGTCAGGAGGAAGCAGTTTCCAGAGAAGGGCATCATGTTTGCTTTTGAATCATTTTGTTGGGAGCTTGTAAACTCATCACACTCCATACACACATGCAT